GAAAAGAGTGAAGAGACTGTGGCACTGCTGTGAAGAGACTGTGGCAAAGTGTATACCCAAAGGAATCCTAGATATGGAGCCACAGTTAAAGGTTTTGCTTGTTGGATTACTGAAGGAAATTTTAACTTATAACTGCCCTAAGATAAAGTTTGCTAGACAGAGGAAAACAGAGGTTTATTTGTGCTGCTGAACTGAATCTAGACTTTCACTTCTGGACTGAAAAGCTGTCTGAACTAATTGAGGAATTGTGTCTTCCTATTAATCTGGTTTGAGATTGTTGGACTAAACCTGGACTTGCATTGTATGATACTCTTTGCCTCCCCTACTCCTCAATCTATTTCCCTAATAAACCTCACATCTGTGAGTAAAGTCTGTGAGTCATTTTAAAATAAATATTAGATCCAATAATTCATAATAATATCTACAAGAGCATGTAGGATGACATGTCTGGCCATGTATCTATTTGTTTGGTATGATGGATGCTATTTGTGGTGAAAGTTCCTCTTTATGAAGCAGGTAGAAGTCAGACTGGGCCTTCCCTATGTTACCACCATTCCTTTTACAAATATTGATTCATTAATGTTGAATCCATGATCAACAATATTTAACCCATGACTGAAAAAAAATATTATCCAGAATATTATTATAGATTGAGCTGTTCTCTTTAACAAACAAACAAACCAACCTGAAAGAAACACCAACCAACAAAAAAACCCCAAACAAAACAGTGGATGTCTAAAGCCTATACCTGTAACAAGGATCCTGTTTAGAAAAAGGGTTTTGTTGTTGTTCTCATTGTTATGTTAGTAAGGTATTAAGAGCATAAGTCTCTTAAAATAGAGGATACAAATTTGCTGAAAAAAGAAAAATAGGTTTGTGTGCTAACCAGTAGATGCTGTATCAGGTCCATAGACTTAATGCGTTAATCAGAAGATGCTGTCCTAATAAAGATGGAATTCTTCAATTCTGATTGGCTGAATCTCCCATGAGGGAGATCAGCAATGTACCAATCTAAAGATGGAAACACCTCAATACTAATTTGTTGCTCCTTGGCTCTGAGTGACTTTGACTATACAAACATCCTGGCCAGAATAATGACAGAACTGCAATACAGTGGCATCAAAGAAGACAAGACACCACACTGACCGACATCTCTCAGCCTCTCCAACCCATTGCTGGATTTAGTGACAAACTGTCCACTGTGCTGAGAGCTGTGTTTCTTTGAATACTGAAGTTCTTCCCTTCAGTATTCTCTAGTACACAAGCTAGTTCAACATACAAGGTCATATCAGAGCAGAAAATGTTCTAAAACTAATCACTAAGTAAGGCTTCAAATTCATTCCAATCCATTCAGTCATGGCCAACAAAGTGACACCAGAACAGATTTGAAATTTAAAATGTGGTGAAACAGAACGTAAGGAGAATGGAGGGGAAAGATGGATTGAAGCCATAATAGAATTTCTCCCTCTTAAAAAAGAAAGGAAATATATGTGTTGCTTTGCAATCAAAGCTCCTGACTGAGTTGAAAAGAACAGTTCCCAGCTCCAAGATCGTAACAAACATTGTCCCACCAAATATACCACTCTCCACATTCTGGACAATAATACATTAGGTCTGTGAAAGAGCTAGCTCACTAGGCTTCTTTCAAGTCTCCTTCTAAGACTTCAAGCTATTCATTTTCCTGTTCCACTTTGTTTCCTCCATCACTCAAAACTTAAAATTTCTATTTGTCTCAGTTTCACTTTGTAAGCTATGACTGAACTAGTTTAAAAAGGTATAAAGCCCTGCTCCTTAGTTGTATCTTAGCAACTGCATGAGAAGTTCTCAAAATTGCTCTATTTTCAAATCCACAAATCTAATGTCTTACTCTCTGATGTATACTATTTCCATATTAAGCTACTTTTGTACCATGCTGGATGCATTTTTAAATATTAATTAAAACAATCTTACAGAGAATATTTTTCCATTTTTAGATGATGTACTATTATATTTTCAAATATCCAACACAATTAAGATAAATGATCCAAAATATACAAATTATCTGTGAATTATTACTAAATATTAATTCTAGTTCCTTAATAAACAAAATAACTTACTAACTATAGTTCACTTCATTCAATTCTCCTAGAAGACTTCTATTTTCTTTTTACAGTTATTATATGTACTAAAATTTAATTTCATACAACTTATAGTCTTAGAAGAATATCACATTTTAACTCAAATAGGTATAATGACATATGTTTCTCTGAAATGTGAGTTCCAAAGTATACTGTTATACTGTTTACACGAAACAAGATTTTGGCAACATAATTTAAAAATTACTATTGTTTTGGTGTGCTATTGAAACAAAACAGACACACTGTGAGCCTACAGGACTAAATATAAATATTTCAGAGTTCCTATATGAAATTTTAAAAGGACTAGAAATGTAGAGAGTTTCTAAATTTATCTAGTACAGGGCTTGAAATACAATAGAATGTTATGTGGCTACTGAAAGTTCAAATCTTAAAACTGAATGACAAAATATTTTCTTTTACATTAACATTTTGTATATTCATCTATTAATATAGTACTACTAACTATATTACTAAATAAAATCATCCTGGTACATCTGTTCGTCTAATTTATGAGAAGGGCTACTAAATTAGATAAAGATAGAAGTAATACAATAAAAAAATGATTGTAGGTGCTTTTGAAGACAAGTCAGAGTCTGTCTTAATAAGTACATTAATTTTATCAATTATGTTTATGGATAGGAGTATTTGAGTCTTGAAGACAAATATATTCCATATACAAGTAATATTTCACTTACTTGATGAGTTCCTGTGCAAAATAATGTTTTAGAGCAATGTACATGACAGCTTTGATCAACGAGGCAATCAGGGAATTTCCTAAGCTGCATATGGCAAAATTGTAGCTAACAGCATAGTGACCTTGGAACATACCAGAGTATCACAGAGAACATCAGAACCAGGGAACCAAAAAGATTACACCACTAAACACTATTCTAAGATTAATGGATTACATACAGAACAGTCCAGACCTCTACCCATCTCTCATTCTTTTTTTTAATTTTTTTCATCTCTCATTCTTAAATGTACTTTAATAGACTAAAATATTTAAGTAAAAGAGCAAGATATTTAGAAGACCAGAAACTATTACTAGGAGCACATCTGAGTCTCTTCAAGAATTCCCTCCATAGCAATGAAGTTACACGGTTTCCTCTATACTTATAGTGAGATTCCTGAGGCTGTAAATGTGTTTCACAACATCCTTCTTAATGGACCTAAATTTCTTGAAAAGGTTATCTTTACAACACAAAGAATAGATATATTCAATGATAAAGAAGGAAAGAGAAACAGAAGGATATTTGTATTACTTGATGCTAATAAATAAACCTGTCATTAATGATGTTCACTAGGCAGTCTCTTTGTACTTCTACTGACAGCCACTGCTTAAGATCATCTCTGTCACTGAACAAAGCAGAGGAACAATTCACTACCTGAGCAAACTGCAGGATGTTATAATATGGGGCATTCTGAGTTAACACATACTTATCCTTGAAGACTCGGCTAAGAAAGAAACTGCTTTAAGAAGCACCCCTAAATCACTTATATTCCTGGATTAGATGTCATCCCTATAAATCCTGGGGGCTGCATCCAATCAACACGCATACCAAACACGATAAAAGTGATGCATTTCCATTTTTATCTGAAAACACTCTACTGTAAGATTTATGATAATTTTCACTTTTTTGTAGGTCCCCAAAACTGAGCAGTGTCCAGCATAGAGAAAGTACTCAGTTTTTAGGAGCATTAAGATAAATGTGCCACATCTGATACATCATCCACATTCCTGACTCAAGAAAAGAGAGACTTTAAAAACATGCCACTTAAAAGTCACAAAACAGCAATATGTCATTGTATTTTCTCCTTAAAATAGGAATGAATGAAATTATTATGTCACGGAAAAAACTCAGAGAACCTTCCATCACTGAGCAGATAACACCATTTAAATTTGTACATTGAGAGACAAATAATTTGTTATAAAGACAATATTTTACTGTCATTAACCCTATCAATCAAGAAATCTGGTTGACAGGGTATTAGAAATATGTATAGAAAATGTTTTTTATACAGAATTCTTTTCTAGAACTCTGCAAGTAAAACTTACTTAAAATCAAATGATTATGTGGAATTTATTTTCACTGAAGCACAGTAACATAGTCTTATATGTGGCTTATAAGTCTTATATGTTGGCTTATAATTAATTATAATAGAAAAACGTATTTTAACTTAAAACTAAAATATTTTATATGTAGATCACTGCAATAAAATGCATATATTTCATTTATACAAAGAGTTCTAGAAGGAAAAGGCAATTAAGCTGAAGAAATTTCTAATAAACAAAAAAAACCTCTTACTTCACTAAAAAAATAAAAGGGTTTCCTGCACACACAGCATAATAAGGGTTATTACGAAAACAACAGGCCATCAGAAACTCTGACAATGTCTGTATCTTTTTTTCTGTAATTTATGACAATTGTAAAATATTTAGTATATTACTTATCCTTTATTTGTCTTCCTTTTATCCTGAAGTTTTACTGAAATAAGAGGAGGAACATCCTGTGATAAGGGCTGTACTTAGGATAAACTAGACAATAGATGTGATGAAGTCAATTATAATTAGAGAATAAAGCAGACAAGCTTGAATTTTTATCACAGTTGTACACAGAGAAAGCTTGATTAAATAACCAGAATGGAAAGTGCTGTAAATACAATACATACAATACAGTCTAATAAATACTTAACAGGCATAGATTATTTGAAATTGAACTTATTTCTTCATGCAACTTCATGAAGATCTAATAGAAATTAAGCATGTCTTAAAAGCTTCCTTCCCTCTGAGACAATACTATGCCTAACTTTTTCAAGTCTCTTAATAACCGCACATTGTTACAATAGAAAAGGAAAGCAGAAATTATTAATTTTTAAAATTACCCAGCAATTCCATTGCATCATCTTCATTATCAATGTCTTCTTCTGTTACAGATGGGGTAGGGCTGTGGATGGATTCAAAAGAGTCTTGAGAGAGCATGGCTGCCAGAAGTTTCTTATGTCGTTGCTGCTGCTGTTTTAATCCCTTGATCTTTAGCTCCATCTTTAAACTGTAGAAATATTTAAATGTTAACTCTAAGTACACTGAGATAAGAAATAGCCATGTTATTTAAAGGAAATATACACCTTAACTGTTATTCTTTGTGTAATTTTACAACCATAATACAAAAGTTTCCCTAAGAATACTGTTGTTATTGTTAGATGCCACCAAGTCAAAGATAATTCATAGTGACCTTTAACTACATATAGAAACCTTGTCCAAGGATACTAGAAATGTAGAACCTGATTTCTCTTTTTGAAGAATTTTCAAGTGAATATGTCTAAGTGATATGACAAACTGGAAAATTCCAGCTCCCTTTAAAATTAAGGTAATCAGTTCTTAAACCATAGTCTTTGCAATTGCTTCCTATGCATAAGAGAGCTGAACAATGACTAGGGATGAGAAAAGGAGAATTGATGCCTTTGAGCTGTGGTGCTGGAGAAGAGTGTTGAATGACAGGAGAACAAACAGCTTTGTCCTGCAGAGGGGTGAAACCAGGCTGCTCCTTGGAGGCTAGGATTCTGAGGCTTCATCTGCCATAGTTTGAGCAAGTTGCAAGGAGGGACCGGTCCTGGGAGGGGACATCATGCTTGGAAGGGTGGAAGGACAGAAAAAGAGGAAGGAGGAAGAGGAGAGGAAGGAGGAAGGAAAGAGGAGGGAGGAGGCTAAGGAGGTGGTAGGAGGAGGAGTTGGAGGGAAAGCAGAAAGGAAGAAAGAGGAAGGAGGGAAAAGGAATGAGGGAGGAGGAAGAAGGGAGGAGGAGAAGGATTGTACTTAGTTCTATCTCAGTCTTTGTTTTGTCTTCTTGAGCCACCCTTTGATATTCTATGATGAGTTCGTATCACTTCTTTATTTTGCTTTAACTTCCCTGTGTTCTATAGCAAGTTTAAGAGTCTTTTCTGACATCTATTTTGGTTTTTTCTTATTTTCTATTTCTTTATCATCCAACTTTCTTCATGTATCATTCTTCCACTATCATCTCATTTTGCAGACACTAATATAGTAATTGCTCAAATAAGAGTCATCCATCTTGCCTTTTGGTGAAATATTTTTGGGGAACAGGACAGTCAAATTCTTCATAGTGTTCTTTGCTTTCCTTTCAACTAATTGTCAATTTCTCTATAATTGTAGGAAAGCACTCAGAAAAATGCCACATACTATACTATTTCCCTTCTACACTAACTCTGGAATCTCTCTGAAGAGATGAGGACATTGATACAATTCCCTTATCTCAGTTTGTGTGTGTGTGTGTGTGTGTGTGTGTGTTTCTAGGTGATTTTGTCACTTGTGTAGGTTCAAGTAATATATCCTGCGCATTATAAAGTTATTGATCAGCTCAAAGCCCACAAAGATCTCTTGTGCTTCCCTTTTATAACATAACCAACCTCCACCCTAAACCATCTTTAACCTCTAACAATCAAGTCTTTGTGTGTGTGCATGCATTTTTGTCAAGAAATATAAATGCAATACTATAGTGCTAACATTTTTAAATTGCCTTTTTTCACTCAGAATATTTCTCTATTATAAATAGATATGTCTTTGAAAGGGTGCTGTTGGAGTGCCCTTTGGAGGCAAGAATGATGAGGCTTAGTCTCACATATTTTGGACATATTGCTAGAATGTGCTGTCCCTTGGAGAGGGACATGGTGCTAGGAAGGGTGGAGGGTAGGGGAGGGAGGGAAAGACCCTCAACCAGGTGGACTGACACAGTGACTGCTGCAATGGGCTCTGCGTGTCAGGAAGTGTGAGGATGACACAGGACAGGACTAGGTTCAGATCTTTTGTTTATAGGGTCTCTATGAGTTGTACTCAAGTTGATGGCATCTAACAACAACAACAACATATTTCTCTAGAGATAATACATCCAGTCTTTCCATGTATCAGTTGTTAATTCTTTTTCTTTGCCAGGTAGTCTTCTATGTGTGGATGTATCAATTATTCACAAGTTTTCATATAAACTGTTTTCATTATTACTGGGGGAGTTGCTATTAAAAATAAAACTACCATTAACAATAATAATGAACAGATTTTGTGTGAATATAAGTTTTCATTCCACTAGGACAAATGTCAAAAAGTATATTTCCTGAGTGAAGGGACAGCATAGGAAAGGAAGACCCAGGATGAGATGGACTGACTTAGTGAATAGGGAAATGAGATTAGGTCTGTTGGAAACAATGAGATTAGCTCTGGATAGGACATGGTTCAGAGCTAATCTACATAAGGTCACTTTGAGTCACAAGTAACTCAATGGCATAAACAACAACAACAAGGGATTCTGACAGATCTCAAGAGCTAATCAAAAGAAAAGAACTCATCAAGAAGTAGCAGCATTACACAACATACACAACATGGTATTTATTGAGGTCAACACACTGACAACCACTTACAGCAAATGGTCCCTCATAAAAGGTAGTCTGTCAAAGGCAAAAAACTTGGGGAGCCTTTGTGTGTAGAAAAGAGGAGAAGGGATTATCGAAGCTATTGATATAGATGGTTAGATTCTATACTTGTGCATATTCATGGTCATGGAGTCAGAACTGTTACAAAACTGACCATCCAGTGGGTAATGGCAGGAGATGTAATGGCTTTGGGCAAGTCCACTGTCAAAGACCTCTCCAAAATACTGAAAAGCAATAATGTCAGTATGAAGACTAAGGTATGCCTGATTCAGTTCATAGTATTTTCACTGGTTTTACATCTGAGACATGAACAAGGAATAAGGATGACAGAGAATCATTGATGCCCATGAGTTTTGGTGTTGGAAGAGTACTGAATATCCTCTGAACTGCCAAAAGAATAAACATATTATTGACCAAACTATGCAGCCAGAGTGCTCCCTGGAGGCAAGAATGGTAAAGTTTAATCATTCACACCTGAGACATGTTGTTAGACGAGGCTATTCCTTGGAAAAGGATGTTGTTGTTGTTGATTGTCATCGAGTTAAGGATGACTCATAGCGATTCTATGAACAAAATACCCAATGCCTTTCCATAACTGTCATCATTTCACCAAGTTCATAGAGTTTTCAGAGGTATGTGGTTTAAGAAGTGGATGCCACTCCTGCTTCCCAACCTGTTTTACATGTGGGAGCTACATCAAACACTGTCCACATTGGGAAGCCATTCTGATATTTGATACACCAATGGCACAAGGTTCAGCATCACAGCAACCCAGGTTACTTCATACTGCAAAGAGTGATGTACAATGGGGAAGAGTGTTCTTCCAGATATAACAGCACTAGTTTCACTTGGCAGTGGTTAAGTGTTATTTGCTGAACTGAACAACTTGTTGTTGATGTGATGCTGCAAATAGACAAAATATTGCTGTCATTCAAGGACTATTCATTTGAAAATTAATAAATTTGTGGGGTTTTAACCAAGGCCTTTGAGCAAACTTTCACTCTAGGCAAGGCTCAGGGATGCTCACTGGTAGGGGGAAAAGAGCAATAATACACATCAAACACAACCCCAAAAACTTCCCCTCACTTGTCCACCCAGACCAGCACTTAAAAAGATGGAAGGTCAGTGAAAGGAAGGAAGACTCCAGTGAGATTGACTGACACAGTGATTCGAAAAATGAGATCAAGAGTGGCAGAGATGGCACAAGATAGAACAACGTTCAGGTCTGTTGTTTATAGGGTCCAATGAGTCAAATTTGACAAACATAATGGAAGAAGTTTCTCATCTTTTCCCAATGAAAGCCAATGATGGATTCAAGCCATCAGAGAATTGCCTTTTTGGATTGTGGTTACTATTCTAGTCATTGCAATGAAGTCCATCACTTAGTATGTGTGACTGTGTATGGTTCAGTAAGAAACTATTGCTGCAATCCCGAAGGTACTCCGTTCAAATCCACCAGCTTCTCCATAAGAGAAAGATGGGAAATCTCTTCCTAAGCAATTAAACTGCTTCTGAAAACATACTGGAAGATCATCTATTGGTTGGTTCCTGCTTGATGGTGCACAACATCAACAATGTGTATATGTGCACACACACACACACACACACACCACATCAAGAAAGTCTCTTGTGCTTAACACTGGAATTAACACACCAGGAGAATGAGCATCACAGTGGAGTGGAGAGGGAAGTTTGTGGACAGAGGTGGATGGAGGTCTGAGCCATCTTTAAAGGGGGCCTAGGGCTGGGAGTGTGAGGTGCTGGAGTAATTAGGAGAGGGAACTGTGCTGGATGCTAGCAGGGTGGGGTGTGAGGTGTGAACACAACACATGTGCAAAAGGAGGTGGGGGCAGGACCAAACTGTGTAATGGAGAAAGGTCTCTCACTAGCTCTTTTTGATATGGTCTGTCAAATATTGCTATAAAGTGGTGCATCCATATTAAGACAGAGTAGGAAGAAGGGTTAGCCATCCAATTTTGAAATAATAGAGCACACTTAGATTATACTAGCAGATTTGGCAACAGAGGTCGAATCTTCATACTGGGAACCACAAAGGAGGAGGAATGGCTACAAACAGACATTATTGATTGGCATGTGCAATGTGAGAAGCATGAATGTAGGAAAAGAGGAAATTGGTAAGGAAGAAAGGAATCACATAAGCACTGACAAATGAGGCACTGGTGAAATGAAATGGATTGATGTGGGACATTTTGAATCAGACACACATCTGATCTATTACACTGGAAATGACAAAGTGGGGGAAACGGGGTCACACTCATAGTAAAAAAGACCATATCTATATCCATCTTAACATACAATGTTATGAGTGACAGGATAATATCCGTACACACA